TGGGTAAAAAACTGTCCGGATGGTTGAGCCCAAAGAATTGTGGTCTGGTTTTAAATCATTAAGCATTAAATCTGGTTGGTGGCTGGTCACGAGTGGTGTCTCCCAGGGCTCAGTTCTGAGGCCACTCCTGTTTAACATCTTTACTGATGATCTAGACAAGGGGATCGAGTGCATCCTCAGTCAGTTTGCAGATGACACCAGGTTGGGTGGGAGCGTTGATCTGCTCGAGGGCAGGGAGGCTCTGCAGAGAGACCTGGACAGGCTGGAGCCATGGGCTGAGGCCAACTGCAGGAGTTTCCATAAGGCCAAATGCCGGGGGCTGCCCTTGGGCCACAACAACCCCCAGCAGCGCTACAGGCTTGGGGAGGAGTGGCTGGAGAGCTGCCAGTCAGAGAGGGACCTGGGGGTGCTGATTGACAGCCGGCTGAACAGGAGCCAGCAGTGTGCCCAGGGGGCCAAGAAGGCCAATGGCATCCTGGCTTGTGTCAGCAATAGCGTGGCCAGCAGGGACAGGGAAGGGATCTGACCCCTGTACTCGGCACTGGTGAGGCTGCCCCTCGATTCCTGTGTTCCATTTTGGACCTCTCACTACAAAAAGGACATTAAATGACTTGAGCATGTCCAGAGAAGGGCAACGAAGCTGGTGCAGGGTCTGGAGCACAGGTCGTACGGGGAGCAGCTGAGGGAACTGGGGGTGTTTAGTCTGGAGAAGAGGAGGCTGAGGGGAGACCTCATCGCCCTCTACAGCTCCCTGAAAGGAGGTTGCAGAGAGCTGGGGATGAGTCTCTAACCAAGTAACAAGCGACAGGACAAGAGGGAATGGCCTCAAGTTGTGCCAGGGAAGGTTTAGACTGGATATTAGGAAGCATTTCTTTCCAGAAGGGGTTGTTAGGTGTTGGAATGGGCTGCCCAGGGAGGTGGTGGAGTCCCCATCCCTGGAGATGTTTTAAGAGTAGGTCTGACAGAGCACTGAGGGATATGGTGTAGTTGGGAACTGTCAGTGTTAGGTTAATGGTTGGACTGGATGATCTTCAAGGTCCTTTCCAACCTAGGCAGTTCTGTGTTTCTGTGTGAATTTAAACTGTCTTTCTAGATGGAGCAATGGAAATGCTGACAGCATAGACTGTACTAGAGAGAACCAAATATATCTGAATTTTATTCAATTGTTGAAGCTCCAGCAACACCACCTTCAGGCCTACTTCTTACTTCCACACTTACATAGATATTAAAAAAAACCCACAAAATGCTGGGGAGACTTTATTTAGATAATTTATGCTTCAGAGCTTTTAATATTCATTATCAGTGCAATGGAGATGCTCCAGCAATCTTACTCTAAAACTAACATATCTCCCCACAACCAGTAGCAGACCAGGAAAAACAGTGGGCCAGTTATGCTTTCTACATAAAATAAGCATACATTAGTTGAAAAAATATGGTGTATAGAACATCTGCATGCTGTTTTGTCATGTTTTATCTCCTTAGTTATCTACAGCTGCTTGAAGCACAGTACAGTTTATCCCCATTGGAAACATACTTATCATAAGGACAATTCTGTATGCATGGGGTTTCTTTAGGCAAGAGCATACAACCCAAGTTACTGTAGGTAAAACTGAATACCTGACACAAGAAGCACTCAAGAGGAACCATGCAACACTCTGCAGAGGTGCCCAAACTAACCTTGAATAGGACAGCACAGATAAGAGACATTGTCAGAGCGCCATACCACAGCTAAGCTGCTTCTTATCCTGAATCATATCTCTGGGGTATCTCTCAAGCATCATGGAAAGTATGTTATTCAGGCACATCTAAATAGGACCAAAAAACCATTGGAATAATAACTCTCTGGTATAATCCTGTGCTCCTGAATTTTGTAGGACCTCTGCTGCAGTGGTCTGAGGGCAACACAAAAAATCACTACTCTTCCCTTCCAAACTTGATTTTCAGTTTTTATGTATTACCTTTTTATCTTTTCATTCCATACACATTTTAAAACAAGTGACTAAATAAACATTATGCAAGACGACTAAAAAAAAAAAAATCAGTGACACTCCAAGACAAGCACTGGCTCTGCAGTGAAGAATGCAGTCTCAAAACCCTGTGTTGTTTGCACACTAAGTAAAGAGGATGGGCACGCTACATAATCAGTCCTACAGGCTCCAGTAACACCTCCCCAAGTCTAAGGTAAGCAGAGACTGTTTATTTTAAGACTCCACACAAAATTAGTATTTGCCACAATATAGCAGAACAATTTTCCACGATGTTATTATTTACATTTTTCACCTCTTACTTTGCACATACTGTCCGTTTCATTAGTCCTCTTGCCATCTCTTCTGAAGGAATATTGAGAATCCAAAATGGAGACTGAAATAAAGAGAAGATAAGTGATGCAAATACCTAGTTGGAGGAAGTCACATGAATTATATAAATACACAATTCTGTTCTATAAAAACAGAACATTCATATTAAAGATTAAAAAAAAAAAATCTGTTAACTGTACAGAGAACATGAGGATAAAACATTCAATCTGAGGTAAATCTGTATACTCAGCTTGAATGTCTGAGAAATTTTATTAGGTATTTCGTTTTCCCACCATATCTTTGACCTGGTAAATTATTATTATTTGTTTATGCTTCTCTAGATTATTCACCCTCTAAAGACTCAAAACATCTCATTACAACACAAGTAGTAACTAAAATCCAGTAACATTCCCTGACTAAGCATTGGGACCAGAACTGTAAAGCTTCCTAGTTTCACTCTTCCAGATATGCCCTCTTATCGATTTAGAAGCGAACACCAAATTTAAACTCCTGCTGAATATTTTCACGTTTAGCTATTCTGCATAGAAAGGAAAGCCTACCAGCAGGTGGCACTGCTTCTTTTCACACTCTTAAACGAAGACATACCAGGGTGCATTTTGTGCATTACGCAGTTCTGAATCTTTACTGAAATTGAGAATTGCTCATTTTTAGAAGATTCCTTATTTTCCTAAGAAACTTTAAAATGTATTCAGCTACCCACATACAATAAAAATACTATAAAGAACATATTTGTATACCATATGTGGACTCAAGTGAAATATTCGGTCACCACTTACATTTACACGGATTTCCTGCTCACTGCTGAATTGTCCACCACAAAGCGAGAGCAAAGACGTTATCTCCTAAAGTGACAATACAAAGGTTAGGCTTTAGGAGCATTAACTGATGTTCAAAAGAAAGGGGAAAAAAAAAAAAGCCAAAAAATGTGCCATACACCATAAATTCTAATGCAGACTGTGACCTCCATAAGGATTATGACTGAAATGTTAGATATCGCGACAGAAGAATGATGTTTATTACCAACCTACTGTGGGAACCAACAGTGAAACACTTAAGAGTCATGTGGATAGGGCAGAAGTTCACAATCAAATTCAGCCTGTACATACTGTTCATGAACTGAAAAAAATTAGACTCTCCTGCTGCAAAAGCAGACGATTACCTTTCTCAGAGGTCAGTTGCAAAGGAACAAGCTACGGTTAGGTTATGAAAAGCTGTACAGTACAAAAACATAGTAAGATCAAGTTAGGCAAATTTCAGTAATCAAATCCTACTGTTTTGCACTTTCTTCTTCATCGAAATCTTTACTGTTCTTTACTACACTCTCACAATAATATTCCTCTTACAATATTATTCTATGTATTCTTAAAATATTTTTCTGACTAATTCACATAAAAGAGATGCCTCACTGGTAACACTCTGACCCAGGGCTGGTCCCAGCACTGAGCATCAATTCCTTTTCTGTTACCTCTCTGCTTTACAGGCATCTCAACGATTTTGTTCCATAGGTGTCTTTTCCAGAGTAAATTAAATCAAAGACCATATGTAAATTGAAGATGCAAACGGCAAATCTCCAAGAAACAAGCTAGTGAGTAATAATTAGAAAAATGCACCCACTGAAAAGGTTTTTGAACTGAAATGAGAGGTGAACATTGGGGATATTTCTCATGCAGCCCCTTTGCTAGAAATGACATGCTGCAGCCTCTGAACATTACTGGCAAAACTTGGAAGCAAATTTTGATGTTGGCTTAGATTTGAGCCAAGTGGGTAAATAAAAAGATTACCACGAAGTATCACCAAAAAACAGAGGAAAGAAAACCCTACATAACACTAACACGTGGTTTTAGTGGGACATTATCCCATTTATTTCCATCTTTCATTTTGCATAGAAAGGACATAAGAAATGCTGGAACAAAAAACTGGGATTTTGCTCCAGAATAAAAGTTTATGTGTAACTGTTTCACTGTATGGTCCTGGGACAGCAAAAGCACCTGAGATTTTACACATGAACTAGCAGCAACTCCACACACTACCTGTAATATTATCTACAGGAAAGTGCCAGGAAGCGCAGAAAACATGGCCTATGAGGAAAGGCTTGGAAAGAAATGCAACCATGACCTCTGCACATGCTAAAGGCTGCTGTAATAAAGGAAGGTGATAATCAGTTTTCAAAGTTTACTACAGCGGAGATGACAGCTTCAGGTTCAGACCACAGCAGTGTTCTGGATGAGAGGTCGGAAAGATCCTTCCAAAAGTAAAGGCCAAAGCTCTGGAATGAATCTGCATGAAGAGGCTGGCATGCATCTATCTGCCATTAGAGACACCCTGTGCTGGAAAACACAGGATGCCTGGCGTTACCTCTCGGTATCTGACCTAAACAAAGAGAGATCCCTGACTACAGAGCATGCTTTTTATTGACTAAGCAATATGAAATACAGAATATTATGCCACAGACACTTGAGAACAAATGTGGACTTCAAGAAACACCTTCAGCTATTGTGCTCTGCCACCACCAGAAGAAAAGTAGTGCTCACCCTATGTGAAGGCATGGTAGAGATGGAGATCAGGAACCTGATCTGGCTGAAAATTCTGTGCGTGTTTTGTTAAGTTTTCAGACAAATCATGTCCCTAAAGCAGCTCATCACAAAGCCAAACAGATGGCTGAGCAGACACCAGAGTACAAGAAAAGGCAAATGGAACTGCTTTCTTCAGCAGCTGTATCAACCAAGAGTAAAATTTTGGGGGGAAATAAAAAGGAAAGCCTTCTATGTTACATATATATATATAATCTTTTTATTTAATTAATCCAATAACCTTGCCTGAAGAAAAATTGTGTTGATTATAAATATAGAATAAATTCATGTTCCAGTCCCACAAAGCAGACAATAAACAATAAGGTATAAAAGAAAGCCTTAAAGAAAACTAGGAAAATAAATAAGATGATGCGATACGAAATATTTTACAACATGTGTTGATGACCTACCAATTCTAGGAAATAACTCTGCGTTTCAGCAGGATTTTTAAACGCTAACGTACTACCCTGGCTATCATATGACTAGCTCTTCAAGATGGTGCCCACAAGAGCAGGTCAGAATTTGTTAAGGTGTTATCAAAAGTTGTTACTTTGTTACAGCGAGCAGTAACTCTGTAAATCATCACTGGGGGAAAAAATAACCACAAGTAAAATTTACAAACAAAAAAGTTTTCTTAGAAATGCTGAAATTGAGGGTATGCTAAGCTAGGCATTCACCAAGGACCCATAAGAAATACCAGGGAGCTTAAGGTAAGTTACAATTATATATTTTGTTAACAAATTCTGTGAATACCGTTCCATAAAACCAATTTAGTGACAGGGAACAAACACTGCACCCCAAATTTTGCAACCAACTAGCATGAATGTGTCGATGACGAGCAGACTGCAGTACTGGGCAGGACGTGCTGGCCCCCACACCCGACACCCTGCCATCCCACTGCTGAAGTGGGTCTACTCTCTCTAATCCGGCAGCCTGGCCAGCACGGCAAAACCCCCTTCTGACCGCATGGAAACAAACGCTCAGAACCAACAGCCAAAGGCGAGCAGTCCTCAGAGCCACCGGCGTGACGCAGAGGAGGGAAACTCACGACCAGGACACCAGCCAAGGCCTTGGAGACCCATGTTCCATCATACCCGGCTGTAGGACTTCGGAGGGGCCTCGCCATTGCTGCTGCCCAAGCCTTCCTTCAGAAAATGAAATCTGCACCCTCCTGCCTCATGCAGCTCCATAAACCCCTGGGACAGAGAGGACCTCGCGTGTCACTGGGGCAGCACCAACCCCTTATGTACCCACACCATGACGGCGGGAGCAGCTACGTAGTTTAAACTAAAGTCCTGACTAAAAGTTATCAAAACAAGACTTGAGAAACATTTTCGTAAACCCATTTTTTTCCTCCCGGTTTCGACTTCTTATCTGGAGCCCCAGGTACTTTGCTGGCCATCTCTCCTAGCTCCACGGGCGGCAAGGGAAGCCTTAAAGCCACCACGAAGAGGGTCTCCACGGAGGCGGTGGAAGGAGGAGGGAGCCCACGCCCGCTGCGAGGCTGAGGGGGAACGCGGCAGCGCCCCGCCGGGAGGCCGCGGAGAGCGGTGAGTGAAGGGGC